TTCTGCGTTTGTCTCTCCTCCTCCAAAGTGTTCTACATAATAAGACATTATAATTATTTATACGTGTTATAAAACCACTATTTCAGTATAAAAAAATTTAATATGAAAAATAAAAATACTTACAAAAGTCTGTTCTGCTTGGGGATTAACCCAAGAGGCCCCGCGACGATGCATGTCCCCCCAATTGAGAGCTATATGTAAAGTGACGATTGTGTAAGAGTTCATATTTTTGCTAGATATTGTATACGGGGAGAAATAGAAGATAAGAGCTAGAAATCAAACCAGTCGTAATGGGTATCCATAAATATTAAGTGGAGCTTGGCTCAAAGATCCACCTCCATGTTTTGGATGGTGGAACTTGCAGGACGCACCAAATTTACAGGTCCCAGTTTTTAAATACTACTGTTCATTAAGCAACAAAACCATAGATGTATTAGAAAGAACAAAGAGGCTAAATCAGATTAAACTTTATAGATTTTCCAAATATCTACATTATCAACATGATGATCAGTAAGACCATTTTACTGACTGAAATAACTAAACTTACCTGACATACAGGTTCTCCCACTCGCTCCGGGTACTCCCTAGTAGCTCTCACAGCTGCCGCCACCTAAGTGAATCATTAAACCCAAAACAAAAACACTAATGAGACCATTTTGACCACTGTCAAGGAGGGGAAAAAAAGTGTAGAATTATGGGCACCGAGTAGGACAACCACCATCGCACCACTAAGCCCAAAACAACACAAACATGAAGCTTAATGAAGACAAATTTTAAGTACCCAAAGACCATTAGATTCCAAAACGAACACCAATTTCGATAATTCCATTTCCTCAGCTTTGTTACCACATTAAACAGCATTAAATTCGGACAAAAGAGCATCAGAAACAAGCTAACAATAAACTAACACTCAAGTTAAGCATACGAAGACAAGTTCCTTTGACTATAAGATAAGCTACTGCTGAGAGAGTGTGAAAATAGAGTAATTCTTAAATAAATGCAATAATGGCATTAATTAACTATTAATGACATAGTCAACGACGACAAAAGGATTTTACCGCGGCGCGATCACGAGGATGGTTGTAACGACACCAGACACCATATCCACATTGCCCAGTTCGCATGTAGTACACGCAATTCGGCACGCCGGGACGCTCCGGGTATGATTCGCCACCGGTCAACCCCAATTGCCACATGGATTCTACACAAATTCTCCCCCAAAATCCATATCAAAACCCTAGCCAAAACCCCACATTGCGAAACCCTAGCCGGGCTCCGTCCGTACAACTCCATTGAACCCGAGAGAGCTTCTTTATTTTATTTTTTTTTTCCTTTTTGTTTTAAGGAAACTGGGTTTCTGTACTACACACAACTGTATAAAAAAAAAAACTAACGGAGGAAAAGAAAAATAAACGAAAAAGGAAAAAACAGAAAACGATTCTACAGTAGTAGTGTTCGAGAAAGATCCAAGAGCTCGATTGAAGTCCTGTCAGATTATGTTAGCCTCTTCAAAGTCTTGGCGGGGGCGGCCGGAGAGGGGAAAAAGAGAGAAGGGAGCGGAAGAGAGAGAGAGAGAGAGAGAAGGGAAAAGAGAGAGAGAGAGAAGGGAAGAGAGAGAGAAGAGGGCCGGGGGCGACGAAAAGAGGAGGCAAAGAGAGAGAAAACGTCGGGGGAAAATGAAGAAGAAGAAGAAGATAGGGTATATTAGATCAGACTTATTTGCGACGACATAATGTCATCGCAAATACGTCACAGCTGGCAATTAGTTACAACGACATTATGTCGTCGCAAATAATTTTAGAGTCATCGCAAATAATCATATTTTCCGCGTTTAGTTTTTGGTAAAATCTTAAAAAGATTATTTTCGACGACAAAGAGAAAAATGTCATCGCAAATAACCTCAAATTATTTGTGACAACAAATATCGTCGCAAATATCATATTACTTGAGATGCCTTTTCGTATTATTTGTGACGATAAATTTTGTCGCAAAATATGTCGTCGCTAATGTCCTTAATTGTTGTAGTGTCTCCAACTAAATATTACACTGAATAATTGGTCCCCCACCGCAAATTCCATACTGCTGATTATTGTGAGTTTCCAAAGATATAAATTGGGCTAGAAATTATGAGAAATTAAAGGTAGAAAACAAAAGAAAAGAGTATTGAAACCGATATAGGTTCTTTATAAAACAAAAGTCCTTGCTTAGAGGTTCAAACTAGCTAGAGTTCTTTTCTTTCAGCCATTTTCAATCAAAGAGATTAATCTCCTTGATCTATGAAATGAATTTTCTTGCAAACCTCCCTTGATTCTAAGTGTGAAAGCATATATAATAGTCTTGTGAGCCATAAATTAAACAAAGATGTTGACGCTGACAAAAGCCTTTTGTCTTCATCTTGCAAAGGTCCATTTTTTTTTAACTTCCTTTCCCTGAAATGTCTGATCACGCGCTTTAGTTTGGTTGAAATAGCTATTCATGTTGAATATCAATCGTTAAAACAATGAGTCGAGAGAGTGACAAAATGAGTGACAAGAAATGTGTTGTTAGCATTTCTCTAATTGTTATCGTTAGAATTTAAAGTATTTTGACAACTTGAAATGAAATCTTTCTAATGGAAATGCTCACATGTACTAACTGCATTTGTAACTTGACTTGACTGACTCGTCTATTTTTTTCTCTCTATCTCAATTAATTCTATCAATTTGAGTGGGGGATTCGTACAACCAGGGATGTTAAAATTTTATGCTCGGTGGATTTACCGCTAGACTAAGTTTATAACTATGGACGTTATAGGTTCTTATATATGTTGAGATTAGTACGTGACTCCTGAGAATGCAACCTGTAAATCATATTTTCTTACAACTTAAAGCAATAACCAACTCTTTTTTTCCGTCCGAATAAGAAAAAGAAAAAGAAAAACAAAGAAGATAAACAGAATGTTTGAAAAAATTGGAAAGTCTTTTACTATTTGGTCTACCAAAAGAAAATACTTTATACCACTTTCAATGCTTGTTCCTCCACACTTCCTCAAAATTTTTATGTTTTAAATGCTGTGACCAAAACGGTATGTTGGGTCTCACTTGGGGAGGGTCATATGTAACTAATTACTGGGCCACGGTGCCACGGTATCTCTAAATTTTCAATGCTTTTCATATTGTGGGTCATAGCGCAGCAAGACTTTAGCTTATAACTTGCTATTCCATAATTATACTTCTTTCTTAAATACAATCTGAAAATCGGTAACTACATCGTAGTTCAGAAATTTCTGAACTTTAGTTTATAACTTGTTATTCCATAATTATATCAATAAATACTTATCATAAAAGTATTTATATTAATGATATAAAGGATTCTATGAAATATTATCACATACAATAATTCCGATAAATTTCTCGGTCATGACAACAATTTCTAGAATTTTTGGGTTATTTTTGTCAAAAAGGGGGAGTAGGTAGTCTATGATGTTTAAAGTTCAGGGGGAGTTTACGAAAGTTATTTTATTTTAGTTTCCAATATTAGTTTTGCCAAAACAATGTGAAAGGGGGAGATTGTTGGGATTTGTTTCCCAAATTTTGTATTGATTCTAATCGTTTTATGATTGACATTATTTTAGGAATGATTGGCATTATTTTAGAATGATTGGCTAGTTGATTATGTTTGAGAATAGATGAGCAGCTGACAAGTTCTTTATGGAAAGTTTCTGCAAGATCTGGAAACTTAATATAGTTTCTGTTTTTGAAAGTCAACTATTGATCCAAAGATAGTAAATTGATAATTTGTGATTTGATTGAGTTTCATGGCCGGATGATCTTCCTCTGTCTCTTAGGAATGAGTCCATATTCTTATATCAGTTTGGGAAGGTTTCAGAATTAAAGGAGTTTGATTCGGGCTAGTTTTGAGAAAGTTGATATTGACAGCTATGTTGCAGTTATTGTTGCAACAAGGATCTGCAACAGATTTGGTTCAGCGAATTAATTGAAGAGGTCGTCAAAGCTGTTAACATTTTTGCTTATTTATTCAAAGAGTCTCTCGAGTTATTGTATGCTTTTTGATGAGTTTTTGCTAGGTTGTGAGACAGGGGTGTGCACTTGTATTCAGAGAGATGATTTGAGTATTTTTCGGGAGACAAACTTAGTTGGAGGGATTCCAATGTTAAAAAGTCGAGGGGATCTCACTCTTCAAGTTCATTGGGAAATTGCAAGTTCATAGGCGTCTTCTTAGAGAGGGAGTCTCGGGTAAATTAAGTCCAATTGAATTGTAAAAGAGTTCTTAGTGGATTGTTCATCATCTGGGTGTGGCCCCGCGGAGTAGGTTGTGACCGAACCGCGATATCATTTCTCTTGTGTTCTTTTATTTTACGTCTCTACATTATTTATATTGTGTTATAAAGTATTAAAAATCTCAAACCAGTACCAACAAGTACAATAAAGAGAAAAAAACTAAGCACATTAATTCATAATTAAAGCTCCTTATGCTTGTAAATTAGGTTCAAAATATGAATATATATATATATATATCCAACAACCGTAAATATATAACTAAGGACGCTAATTCATAATTAAAAATATATATTTTATTGGAACAAAGAAGAAACTCCGATAATGGCAGCAGGGGCCCAAGGTCCAAGCTCTTATTCTGGTCAAAGCTCCACTCAAACATATATTTATATTCACCTTATGTTCTCACTGCACGCACGACAAATTATTAAACATTAGAGGTCTACGAAAAGGCCTATATAACGGGTAGACCGATAAATATAAAAATGATTGTTCCAAGTGTGCTGACAAAATCTTACATAGAATTAGGCCTCGTTTATTTCACCGATTCGAGTTTTAAGTTTCTACAGTAAAAGTTCTCAGAAAATGTCACATCTAAGTTTTAAGTTTCTACAGTGAAAAACTCTTAGAAAATGTCACATCTCAACTCGGATCCGCGAAGTGAACGAGACCTTAGAGTATTGAGTTTAAGTAGAGGGGACTGTGAATGAAAAAAGTACCTTTTTAAGTGATTACAAGTGAAGGCACATGTTGGACTTTGTAGAAATCCTCTCCTCCTTCCTCTAATCTCTCTCTCAATTCTAGGCACCCTTCAATCTTCACTTCCTTGAGAGTTGTGATGTTTCTTAATCCATCTGGAAGCTTCCTCAAGCGATAGCAATCACGAATGCTCAGATAGCAAAGACTAGTTAATGCTCCGTCCTCTATCATCCACTCTTTCAAGATGTTATCAAAGGAAAGAGATTCAAGTAGAGGGAAGCCACCTTTTGAGCACACGACCACCTCACTCCCTATGAAGCTATACTTACCAAAGTGGAGGGCCCTTAAATTGGGCAGCTTTTCTATCGTCCTCATTGAGTCACCCTTGAGAGCCGTCAACTCTAATGATAACCTCACAAGTTTATGGGAGAATTGGTTTTCTTCTGGTAACCTTATTATTGGCATGCGCACTTTAAGCTCATAAATTTCAGGATAACATGATATTACAGGTATAATATCAACCCAGTCTTCTCCAGCATTGTGCGAATAGTTTTCAGCCAACAACGATAGAGAGCTGACGCAAGTAAATTTGACGCCTGTGCAATTGTGGTAGATTCTCCCCAAGTCTTTACCCACCACGAGTACTAATTTCTTGAGATTAGTCAGTTGCAAAAAATCATTTACATCAACATGCTCTGTGTAAACATTGCACAATGTTTGCAAAGTATTCTTGACATTGGGTAGTCGTAAACGATCTTTGCTGAAAATATTATACGTACCACGGGTAGGTAAGTATAAACGTCGCAATTGCTCCAACCTCCATATCTCATTTGCTATTTCTACGTAATATGACCTCAAATCTAAAGTCTCCAGGCGTCTCAAATTCCCAATAGAAGCTGGGATCTTTTCCACTGGCCTCCCACGAATACTGAACAACCTTAAGTGGACAAGTTTCCCAATTTCCTTAGGCAACTTCCATGAATGATGAGTATCTAAACCGAAAGCTTCGAGTCTCAAAACTCTAAGGAACTTAAAGTGATTCAGAAAAAGTTTCAATACTTTCTCCGAAGGTTCAGATCCCGAAGATTGAAAATATATGAGAGACCTAAGAGAGCCATATCTGCCTTTAATAAAGGGAAGTAAATCATCAAAAACATGATCAGTATAGATGGCAAGTCTCCGTAACTTATTTCTTGGCAATAACTTGTCTCTACTCCTCAGATCAAAAAATTGCAAAAAAGTTTCCTCTCGAGCTTTGAACAAACTCATATCCCTCATGAGATCATGAACGCGGCATGATTTTATTCTTCCAGTTGGACCCAATCTTCCCACTTGAATCATGTTTCTGTCCAATAACTCCGTCAAGTAATGATATGCTACATCGTCATCCATTGAACTCTGTGTTTGTTGATCGAATGAAATGAAACCTTCTGCTATCCACGTATGACATAATATGCTGACCTTTATCTCATGATCCTCCGGGGAATGGGCCAAGTACAAAAAACATGGCTTTAAATGATATGGCAACTCGTCATAGCTCAAGCTTAATATAGACGAAACGCTATGGTATTCTTGTTCTGCATGCACTAATTTGCCTTTGTTTATATATTCTTTCACATTCTCACGCAACTTGTCCCACTCTTCAATTGTGCATTTCGTTGAGAGAAGTCCACTAAGCACAATAATGGCTAATGGCAAACCATCACAGTGTTTAAGCATCTCTTCTCCTAGTTTTTTCATCTCTTCATTATATTTCAAATCTGCGAGAAAACAAAAAAAGCTAATAAATACGTATATTACAGTTTTATTTTAAAGTTCTACCATATATGTATTGAATAAAAGGAATTGTGGTCATTGTTTGACCGAGTCTACAGGATTAGTTTTTTGATTTCTGATGTTTGTTTGAGTTGTTCCTAGTCTTAGGGGTATGTGTCTGGGACATAGGATCATTTAAGGTTAATGGATAATGTATTGGAGTCAGAGTAGTTCTTAAAGCATTTAAAGACGTAGCTCTTAAAGCATTTATGTTGAAGTTTGGCATCATAAATTTTACTTTGCCTTATTCAAAAAAGGATCGTTTTAGCGGCTTCAACAAATTATTTGCTGTGAAATTGAATCATTAAGAATTTGCCAAACATATTGTTCGACACTCATATCAATTGAAGCCTTTTTAGATTCGAAGGATGAGTTTTCTTCATCGGAGGGAATGATGCAGATCTTATAGCTTATACTCAGGAATTTTATCTCTAATTGTTTGTATTTTAAACTAGGCCTTATCTTTAGCATGATTTATTTATTTAAGGATAATTATGTTTATTTCTTTTTATAATAAGCTTTATGATTTGGGTTTTAAATTCAATTAGAAATAGGATTTTTCTCTTAATGATAAGATTTAGGATTTGAATTTCAAACTTAATTAGAGATAGGATTTTTAGTTTTAGTTGCTATTTGTGAGAGTAATTCCTTGAATCGACACTCCACAAATGAGAAATTGGTTTCAAAAAAAGTTAGAAGATTATGGCCGTGTTTGGAACTGATCATGTTTTTGTTTTCCATGTTTTTCGAGAAAAAAAAATGAAAACGTTTTCAAAACGGCGTTTGGCACAATAAAAATAAAAAAGGAAATGAAAATGATTTTTTGGTCTAGTGTAAAATGAGAGAAATGAAAAATGACTTTTAGTTATTTTTTATTTATTTTTTTGTCATTTTTTGTTTTCGAGCAGAGAGAGAGAAAGCGAGATATTAATGATTTTTTTTACACTGAAAATAATCTCTTGATAAAACTACAAAACGCATTTTCAAAAATAATTTTTATCTCATATTGAAAACGTTTTCATTTTCTTTTTCATACAAAAAATAAAATCATTTTAAAACGAATTCCAAACACGCCCTATGTCGTTTGCCGAATAACTGAAGCACAACATTTTGGTTAATAAGATGGAAGCCAACCAGCTGAAAACACGTGGCAGATTAAAGTCGGTCAATAATTGCTTCAGCTGAGAGGAGTTCTTCAAAAAGTTTTAGACAGAAAGATGTAGAGAGAGAAACAAATTGTAGTTGAGAAATCTTAGAGATAGTGTTTGGTTACCTGGAAAATCTGGGTAAAGGGCTTTGTTAGTTATTGGGTATTTTCCTTGATAAACACTGGGTTTAGGGATTTCTCTGTGTTGTTTTTCTGGAATTGATCTCTGTAATCTCTGAGGGAAGAGAGACTTGAGGGTGTAATCAATTCTCATATAGTGAAAGGGCTTTCTTGTGTGTTAGTCCAACGAGGACGTAGGATCTTTGTATCCGAACCTCGGTGAAATTTTCTGGTGTGATTTTTTTATTTGATTTCTTAAGTTCAATTCAAGTCTCTGTTAGGTTCTCCCTAACACAATTTAAGATCCTCATTGTTATTTTAGTTATTCAGTTTTGACTTTCATTAAGAAAATCCCTGAGAGTTCTCTCAACATCTCTGAGTAAATTTTGGTATTTAACGTCTTCATTACATCAAATTCAAAAAAAAAAAAAAAAAAAAAAGTGGAAGGGAAACATGGTGATGAGTGAGTTTTATGCTTACAAGTTTGGTGTTTAGATCTTAACTTTTAGTTGGTTTTTGAGTTTCTAGTATAAGATTTACGTTCGATTTCGTGTTTGTTTTATAGGATAGGTAGGAGCGAGCATTTTGGATTGATTTGGAGTTAATTGGAACAAAAGAAGTATAAAACATTCACTTTTAAGGAAGGATGAGTGCCGTGGCACCAAACAAGCAAGGCCACAACACTAGAAAGGCGGTTTGAGAAGATAGACAGTGAAAAAGAGATTGACATTTCAAGTGAGTATCTCCCGCAACTAAAATTTGTTTTTCATTTACTTTTTAAATTTTTGGGATGGTTTGGAATTGTAAATAAAAAAATAAAAAAAAAGAAAGCAATAAATGAAAGGAAGGAGGGAGAGGGGTAGAATAAATGAGAAAGAGAGATAGAGAATGTACAGTGATAGCAATAATAGAAATCGGCGGGGTACATTTAAGAAAATAAATAAAAATAAAAAAGATAAAATGTATTTTTTTTAGTTGGGGTACATAATTATGTGGCTTCTATTTGGATTAGGGCTATAAGAAATCACCCCGAACCCGACGAACCCGGCCGAGCTGAGCCGACCCTACTCGAAAATCACGGGTTTTCAATTTTTTATTTAATTTTCGGTTTTAATTATGCCTAACCCGCACTGCGCGGGTAGGAGCGCGGGGTGGGGTTACATGAACTCGAGATAACCCTACCTGGCCGAACATGTTCAAAGTAGGTAAAACAATGTCCAACACTTCAAATTCTTACTTTCATAAGTTTATGGACTTTATACATTTAAACTGTTAACTTATTTATGTTTTGGATTCACGATTTGTGTACAAAATGCTTGTATGCCATAGTTGTTGAATTAGGACATTCTTTATTTATATTGGAAGTGTTTGATTTCAAAGTGAGTGTTTTAATTGTTCACCTTGCATTTAGACCCCCTCTTGAAGGAGAGACATGTTCAGTTTGATAATGATTTCTTCTGTAACAAGCACAGATTAATTGACTAAAAAGTGATCATGTGGTCCTTGAGATCATCAACCTGAGTAACTCGAGTAACCCGACCCTACCCGAGGTCACCCGAAAGGTTGCGGGTTTGTAGACTTAAGAGAGTGTCGCGGCCCAAAATTTTCTCAACCCGCATTGGTCGGGTAGGCTCAATTTTTTGGCTCAACCCTACCCTACCCGGCCAATTTACACCCCTAATTTGGATCCTAGTTGGCCTTACTAAAATCATTTTCATAAATAAATCTTGCTTAATTATTATTTTTCTGCTTTATTCTAACCAATGTTTTTCTTAAATATGTACTATTTATTTCAATACATATAATATTCAACAAAAACATACATTTTGATGAAATCGAAATTTTGGGTCCATCAACATTTTTGTTCTTGAGATCTTCTATTTTTAAATGTTCTACTTATATACTGCTACCCTCTTAACATTATTTTCCCATAAGTATCGGTAAATAATTTTTTCATTAAGATGTTTCCACAAAAATATTTTTTTTTCTCTCTAAAATGTGCTTTATTTAATAAGATCTAACTTATTTGACCATTTAAAAAAAAAAAAAAAATCTAGCCAACATTTTGCTCTCAAATTTAAGCTTTGCTTACTTCTAAGTTTAATAGCTTCGATAACTTAGAATTAGCATATTGTACTGCTGCATGAATCCTAATAAATTAAAGTAAAACTAAGTCTGTCAGGAAAGTTCGACCAACTTCATGGATGTTTTATTATTAATTGATTACATAGTTCTTATGAAAATAATAAATAGAACTAAGGAACAAAAAATATGCAAACTAACTCCAGCAAAAAATAATAATAATAATAAAGTAGGTTATTTCCTATTTATCTACTATTTTTAATTAGTAATTATTAATGGAGGAAACAGAAAAAAGAGAGAAGTGCATTCAAGTTGATATGTATTACATATGAAGATGAATAGTGCGGCAAATTTAAAAGAGAATGATAGAGAAATATTACTTGTTTCTTGTTTTCTGAAAGAAGATTTCTTCTCAAACAACTCCCAACTCTCATTCTCATTGAGTAACCGTGGTTGATGGAGCAGGCCGTTCTTATCTGCAGACAAAGCCACCTCTCTGTGACGAGTAGTGAGTATGATTCTGCTATCTGTCTCTTCTTGTACAGAAAATGCAGCCTCTAGAAGTTTCCACACATCAACGGTCCAAATATCATCGAGGAGAATCAAGCACTTGTTATCTTTCTAAATAAATAAATAATAAAGTAGGTTATTTCCTATTTATCTACTATTTTTAATTAGTAATTATGAATGGAGGAAACAGAAAAAAGAGAGAAAAGTGCATTCAAGTTGATATGTATTAGATATGAAGATGAATAGTGCGGCAAATTTAAAAGAGAATGATAGAGAAATATTACTTGTTTCTTGTTTTCTGAAAGAAGATTTCTTCTCAAACAACTCCCAACTCTCATTCTCATTGAGTAACCGTGGTTGATGGAGCAGGCCGTTCTTATCTGCAGACAAAGCCACCTCTCTGTGACGAGTAGTGAGTATGATTCTGCTTTCTGTCTCTTCTTGTACAGAAAATGCAGCCTCTAGAAGTTTCCACGCATCAACGGTCCAAATATCATCGAGGAGAATCAAGCACTTGTTATCTTTCTGAACTTTGCAGAGCTCCTTGGCTACTTCATCATCTCCCATTAATTTGATTTCTTCTCTTTTTTCCCTGGTTGGGCTTGGAGAGGTAAGTTTGATTAAAATTTCTTCCCACACAAGGCGTTTTTCACATTGTTGGGATATAGACTCCCAAGCAAAGCGATCAAAATGACGCCTGACTTGAGGATGATGATAAACCTTTCTAGCAAGGGTGGTTTTTCCGAGACCGCCCATCCCACAAATAGAAATCACACGATGGGGATTAGCTTCTTTCGTCAACGCTGCTGCCAACTTCTCGATATCTTCGTCAAGTCCGATGACATCTTTTTCAGCAACATGAGAATAAGCGCGCCTCAACTGTCTTTGGAGCTGGTAATTCGAAGAACTACTTTCTCCTTTGCTGTCCGGTAATTTCGTGATGCCCATCGCTTGAAAATCTGAGGTCATGGTTGAAAATCTGGTAAAAATTAGGTCGATCTCTGATCCAACTTTATGGAGCTCAATTCCTTCAATCCAAATGCAAGCGAACCTTTTCAATATATTCTTGACACCTCGTTTCCTTCGAGACTCAACTTTTAGGACAAAAGTTTCGACAACGTCTTCTAAAGCAAGAGCAAATTCACTTATTTCTGCAACCCAAAGGCGTACTCTATTGTCCGCATCCATTCCGCGTCTGACAAATGCATCGGCATCTTTTAAGAAGCTGCGCATCCTTCGTAGCTTGGACTGCGCCTCCTCAACTTGGCCTTCGACTCCATACAAGAATTTCGCTTCGGAAATGAGCAAGTCTCCAAGTCTTTCAATCGCAAAGGAAAGGGCGGCGTCAGCCATCTCTTGATGTCCCAGGAAAATCGACTGAACTCTTTTTTCATGTAGTTTTCTTGAGACCTTAATTTGGTTGTGGATCTCTGTTTGGAGGATGCTAATATTGATTTAATTTGTATATCAATATTTTCTTGTGCAAATGGCTTTAAATTATTTTGCAAGTGACCTCATATGGCCAGCCAGCTCGAAGTCAACCGCGGTGGGTGTGTGATGACCTCATATGACCGCATAGTCTTATTGGTACTAAATTTTAAAAGGGAAAGACGTTGTAATAATAGAGGATAAATATATTTTACGTTGAATCATTTTATGTCTTGTTGAGCATTTGAATAAAATATGACTGATCAAATACGGGATAATATATATATACAATACCATGATTGGTTTGGCTTACGCCGTCAACAAAATAATAATCATCAAAAGAAGTCCCCACTTGCCAAATAATAATAAGAATAATAATAATAATAATAATAATAATAAAGATGATGATGTCTTTGAAACTGATATCAAAGCATTACCTAAGTGATGGTAAATATCAAACTATTAAATGCCATGTTTGGAAGCCCAATTTTTGTTTTTTATTTGTCGCGTTTGTTACGAAATTTATAAATTTTAAAAAAAAAATTGATAATATTTTGACCTTTTTTGGAAAGAAATTTCAAAATCACTAATTATTGGCAAGATTTCACATAGAAGGAAAAGTTATATAACTATAAAGTTGTCCAAGTGTTTTAAGTTAGCTTAAATTTATAACTCTATTTGAACTAATAGTGAAAATGGCTAGATGCATTTAATAGTTTGACTCTTTACTCTCGAAACTTTTTGCTATTTGGTAATTTTTCCTAAAATTTTAATATTGAGAAATACTAAATTTGGGGCCTGTTTAGTTCGCTGATTCGAGTTTTTAATTCGAATTGATATGTGACTTTATGTAAGAGCTTTTTACTGTAGTAAAAAAGTTAGATATGATTGTTTTTTAGAGCTTTTTACTGTAACAAAACTCAAATTTTAAACTCAAATCGGTGAAATGAACGAGACCTGACTCTTTCACAAACTCCAGTATCTCTTGCCACTTTTCAATTTAATTTTTCTTGATAAACTACTCAGAAACTTAGTCACCAGTTTATAACTTATTTACAAAAATTGCCACTACACCCTTTTACTAACCGACTTTCTTCTCCAGCCCATCTTCAAAAGCCATGTTTGGAAGTCCAATTTTTGTTTTTTATTTGTCAAGTTTGTTACGAAATTTATAAAGTTTTTTAAAAAAAAAAAAAAATTGATAATATTTTGACCTTTTATGGAAAGAAATTTTGAAATCATTAATTATTGGCAAGATTTAATATAGAAAGAAAAGTTATATAACTCTAAAGTTATTGAAGCGTTTTAAGTTGGCTTAAATTTATAACTCTATTTGAATTAACGGTGAATATGGCTGGGTACAATTATGACAGTTTACTTTTTAAACTTTCGCTCTTTGGTAATTTTTATAACAAATACTAAATTCAGTCTCTTTCAGAAACTCTAGTATCTCTTCTTGCCACTTTTCAATCCAATTTTGCTTGATAAACTCAGAAACTTAGTCACCATTTTACAAACTTATTTACAAAAAATGCCACAGCACACTTTTACCAACACAGTTTCTTCCCCAGCCCATCTTCTTTTAATTTTCTGATAACTATCAATTCGACATAGCCAATGTGAGCCGTTCTTATGCTTGCTGGAAAAAAAATTAAATGAAAAAAATTCATTTGATACCTCTGTAGCAAAGGTAAGCATATACACTACTACAATTTGGCCTATTTGTGATGATAATTGTCGTCACAATTAAGCGAACATTTGCAGCGACATGTCATCACAAATAGTGTCTTCAAACTGAAAAAATAATGTCGTCGCTAAAACGTCACGTGTCATCGTAAATAATGGCTTGGCACCAGATCTCATATGGCGTGAATTTTTACCGCTAAAATAACATTATTTCCGATGACATGTCGTCGCAAATAGTTTATTATTTGCGACAACACATGTTGTCGCAAATAAAATTTATTTTATTTTTTTCCCCGAGCAAAAAGGATTCTTTTGGCGGGGTGGCAAAATTTTTTTGCGATGACATTAATGTGTGTCGTTACAAAAAGTGATATTGTATTCCCAGTAATAGAAGGCGGGGAAAGTGGGCGGGTCCCCAAATCAGTTAATTCCAAAGAGAGGTCCTTCCAAGGTTGGTAAAATGACCTGTAGAGACAATGTGCAAGATCAAGATAATTTGATTGCAAGGACATGGAACATCAAATTCAAACCATCTTAATTTGCGTAAAAGAAACAAAACCCATTTAACATTTCGTGGGCTTTTTTAACAGTAACTTCATAGAAAAGCAAACAGAAAAGAAATGAGATGAAAAATGAGAGGGAGGGATGACTAAATATTACCATCTCCAGGAAGGATTAGCTTCGGCGGGGGAGCATGCATATTCTTGACCAAAGTGATTCCAAGAGTGATCTTAATCCATGACCACGCAAAACTTCTGATTAAGGGAGAAATAAAAACATAATGAGTTAAAGCACAAACTTTATTTGTGTTTGACTCTGTGCAATAATAAAACATTTAGCACCAAAGTGCAAGCATATCTACTATTTAGCGCTTTTGCTACCGGAACTTTTACTGAATTTGGCAAGTTGCCCCCTGAAGTTTTAATTGTAAATTCATAGGGTTTTTCATTAAAATTAAAAGTGTCGGGCGTAGATTGGTAAATGGAAAAAACTTTTAGGGGATAGATGTACTAAACAATGAAAAAAAAAAAAAAGAAAAAAAAAGGTGTAGCCATCATTTCCAAACAAATGAATCAATATACCCGCAAGATTGAAGGCGTGGAGGAGGAGAATACTAAGAGTATGTTTGGTAGGAAAGAAAAGTAGAAGGAAGGAAGAAGGTGCATGGATTTTGGGAGGAAAAATGAAAATATAGGTTGTTTGGTAGGAGAGAAAAGAGAAAGGAAGAGAAAATGAAGTGGAAAATAATACATATGGGCCCCACTATTTTTTTCTTTTCACAAGTGGGCAGAAAATGGGATGAAAATTATGGACAACTCATTAAAGTGAGTAAAGTTATTAAACTACCTTTTTCTCCGTCAACATCCACGAAAAAATTTAAGGGTATAAAAGTAATTTACGAGTAAGATTTTTTTTTCTCTCAATTTAACTTCCAATACCAAACAAATGAAGGTAAGCTCATTTTCTCTTCATCTTCTCATATTAAACAATATAAAAGAAAATTAATTTCCTTTCCATCATTGCTATTTTTCATCACTTTCATATTTCTTTTTTATCCTATTTTCTTTCCTTCCTACCAAGCATAAGTGCAGACACAACTGACGGTAGCACTTTGTGATTTGTGCCAACAAGCCGTTGGAGGAAGAGAATTGTAGAAGCTAAAAATTCTTCCCGGCCAACTCTATTTTGGTTGCTTTCTTCACATGCAGTTTCAACATGATCCGATGAACTCAATAGATCCTTAACGCTTGACCCTGTCTTTGGATCCAAATCATTCGAGTTTGTAACTTAGCTTCCCAAGGATTACGGAAGCAGTAAGCCAACGAAGAAGTTTCGATAATAAAGAGTCTTCATGTTGCTCTTCCTCTAATATGAATGAGAGACCCTGCTGTGATAATTTGCTTTGAGGTGATTTTGCACATTCTGCTTGCAAAGCAGAGGAAACTGCCCACATAAGAAACCTTGAAAGCTTTTCTTGACTCTGGAACACATCAAAACAGGTTTTCATTGAATGATCAAGAAAATACAGCATGATGGATTTGTCAATTTATCTAGAACACGGGACAAGGAGAAAGAAGATCATTTATCACAGGAGGAGGGGCGGAGAGAGAGAGAGAGAGAGAGAGAGAGAGAGAGAGAGAGAGAGAGAGAGAGAGAGAGAGAGAGAGAGAGAGGATGGAGGTGTACTCATGAGTATGGCTTTGAGACCAAACTCGGCATTACCACAAGTTAATCACATCATCATCCCTACTGAGAACTTCACATATTTGATATAAACCTTCAATTGATAGGTTGAAATGGGGTTGATATATCTTCCTTTTCTGGGATATCTTCAATGTTGATATCAATGTTTCTAGAAGAAGATTGACCAATGTAGCGTGTTCTTTCACCGATAAGCTATATCATAAACCCTCCCAATCCCTACGCGTGCAAAGCAAAGTATGCAAAAGAGGGCTTTTGGGTTTTTTTTTTTTTTTTTTTTTCACTTCAAATACCAAAGTTAGTGGCGCATCCGACAATATATACATGTTTATATTCTTCTCTTACATTACTACTATATATTATATTATATTCTATTGTTATATAGTGGTTCTTTATTCAGCTGGTTGTAATAGGATAAGAAATGAGAAAAGCTGTTAGTGGTTTAGTTAGCCATGTGGCATATTCTGTTTGGTTGTATTCTAAGATATAAATAGGCAAATAGAGTATTGTATTGGACAGCATTTTTTCATATCCGAAAATAGGAGAGAGAAAATAAGAGAGATTTGTGAGAAAGGGGATTTTTCTTTGGGTTTTTCTCTGTAATTCAATTCTTCTTTTTTTCTGGTGAATAAAAACAGCTTGTTCTTCTGTGGAAATTTCATGGTGTGTTAATGTCCTGGTATAGAAGATTTACAAAGAGATTAGGCAAGATTATTAACATATATTATATCATATTATATTATCATATTATATACATTACGTTATATGTGTATTTATATACATGTCAGTCTCATATTCTGTATTTATACTCTGGATACTTGTATCCTAGCTAGCTACTTTTGCACCAATTTTTCTTTATGTGAAACTCTTGTCTCGATCTCCCAAACAGAAACAAACGCCGCGATATGAAATTTTTGGAATATTCTACTTTTTCATTCGTTTTATAAAGTAAAAGGTTCTCTTAATAATAAATAACTTTCTCATGTCTCATCAACTTGTCATTTGATGACAAAATGTTATATGATCTAGGTACTTGA